GGTACTGACTCAATGGCACCTAACAACAACAACAGCAACAGATATTTAGAACCAGTCTGTCTCTCCTTCATCCTAGTTTGTCTTAGTCTGGAAGCTCAGCTGAAACCTATCTACCATGGGCGATCGTGCTATTATTTAAAATATGCATGGCATAACTTCCAGAATCTCAGCAACTCACAAGCCACCAAAGTACAACAAGCTAACTTTATGCATATTTATTTCTTTTGTATTTAATCCTAATCATAGGGTAATAAGTGATGTGGATTATATTTATTAATATCTTCCTTGAAATGGAGCTGTAAAAAAGTATTCAATTTTATTTTACTATAACATTCATGTAAAATATAACTTATAAGGTGTGAAATAACAAGTTAACTCAAATTACTAATTTGTGTATGTTTTTACTCCTTCAAGTTAGATAAATATTGTTACGTGTGAAAACTTGTTGTTGTTGTTAAGTGCCGTTGAGTCGGTTCTGACCCATAGCGACCCTGTACAGGGTTTCCGAGGGTGTAAATCTTTACGGGAGCAGAACACCTCATCTTTCTTCCGCAGTGCGGCTGATAGTTTCGAACTGCTGGCCTTGAGGTTCGCAGCCCAATTCATAACCACTACACTACCAGGGCTCCTTATAGTACTATTGTATATGTTCTACATAGAGTTATGATTAGTACAAACACTTACGTGTATACACATTATTGTTTAGTACCATCAAGTCGGTTCCAACTTATAGCGACCCTGTATAGGGTTTCTATGGAGCAACTGGTGAATTTGAACCTCTGACCTTGATGTCCAGTGCATTATCCCACAGTGCCACACAAGGACTCCTATATAAATAGAAATATTGTATTTTGTTGAATTTTAAGTTATTTCTTATTCTCTTTATATTCTGAGTTCATTAATTTTTTATATTAAACTCAACTAAGATCTTGACTTGTTGTTAAGTGTTGTCAAGTTGGTTCTAATCCAAAGTGACCCCATACAGGGTTTCCAAAGAGTGGATAGTGGGTATGAACCACCAACCTTGTATTTAGCTTATCCTACATTGCCACATCAGGATTTATTTCCAATTTACAATTCTATCTATGAGACTAAAAACAATCTTAAGTATAAAAATGATACGATATTTATTGAAAGGTACTATGTGGCAGCAACTATTCTAAACGTTCTTCATGAATTAATAAAATCTTCCCAACCAGTTAAATATGTAATACTATCATCATCTACATTTTACACTAAAGACAGCTATGAACTATAGAGGTAAATTCACTTACCCAAAGCCACAGAACTAGTAAGTGTTGTAATTAAGATTCTGAGCCAGGTAGTCTGAGTCCAGGGCCTGGGAAAGTACTGGGAAAGTACTCATTATACCATCTGACTCTCCAATTATAGAAAGTTTATCTGGTGAGGGAAATGCAAACAGAGTTAGAGGATGGTTACTATTTTTGTTATTAGGTCCTGTGGAGTCATTTCTGACGCACAACAACCCTGTAAATATTTAAGGCTGTAAATCAGAAAGCCTCATCTTTCTCCCATGATGGTTTTGAACTGTCAGCCTTGTGGTTAGCCGGCCAGTGTTTACCATAATGGTTAAGCTACATTAAATTTGATATTGGACATGTTAACACTCACCAAGCTTACTTGCTGTATTTTATTTCCTTGTTAGAATGTGGTGGCCGACTGAAAGCTGAATTAAAACCCAAAGATCTGTACTCACATGCTCAGTTTGGTGATAACAACTACCCAGGACAGGTTGACTGTGAGTGGTTATTGATGTCAGAACGGGGCTCTCGACTGGAGTTGTCCTTCCAGACGTTTGAAGTGGAAGAAGAAGCCGATTGTGGCTATGATTATATTGCGCTCTTTGATGGTCTTGATTCAACAGCAGTGGGACTTGGTCGATTCTGTGGATCAGGGGTAAGTCTAGTACCAACATATGATAAAAGGCATATTGATTTGTGATTATTGTAATGTATAAAAATTGTCAGTGCTTTTACTAGTGTAGTGACTAATTTTAACATTCTTTCCTACCTTAACACTTCTCCACCTCTAAAAATCTAACGAATTTGTGTCATAATAACAGATAAGACATCATAGATAAAATCAGTAGTTATAATTGCTTATTATTCTGCATGTTTTAACTTTTTATTCATGTTTTTATTGCACAGTACATATTTAATAATCTGAAATTATTATACTTAAACATACATCTTTGGCAATTGTGTCACCTTCCTAAATTAAGCATGAAAGAATAGACATACCATTCGAATTGCCTTTTCCTTCTCAACAAATTTATTGGATGAATGTAATAGTGTCAACCACTGGTAGCATGTTTGGTCAGTGCCACAAGTGTGTTGTCTCAATGCACACTTTGTACAACATAGAAAGTGTCTGATAGAAAACAGAAGATTTCACTCTGAGAAATTAAAAAAAAAAGTTTTTCTCAATTTCCCGACCCTAGGACTCACTGCATTAAGATTAAGTAGTATTCTGCATACATAATTTATTTTGAAGACATTAGTTCAATTATTTGATTGCCTGTTGGTATCAGTTCTTAAATAATATAGTTGAATTCCTGTTGAGCCAGCAACTAAAATGAAACCAAAAAGCTTCTTGGTACCATATTATTAAAACAAGAAATAATGGATTTGGATTCTGTAAGTGGCTCTGCCTCAGAGCAACTTCTGAAACCAATTTAATATCTCTTTAGCCTCTCTGAACTTCAATTTATTTGTAAATCAAATGAACTTGGTTTAAAATGTTGGGAAAACAACAACAAAAACTCACTTTAAGCTCTAATGAGGAAAGTGGCCAGAATTTGGAAACAGGTTGATATATGTTTAAAGCCCATTATAACACTGATAGCTTTGTATTCTTGAACATTTGAAAACAGAAAGAAACATGTTTAAAACCCAGTATACATGTTTAAAACCCAGTATAGCTTTGTGTTCTTTAGCATGTCATTTGCTTCTCTGAATCTCAGGTTCTCTCATGTATAAAATGAAGAAATCAACTTTGTAATGTTATTGGGAGGGTTAAGTTATAAAAAAAAATTGCCAAACATAATTGCATTGAAGGAAAAGTGACTAATTCTATTGTTTGTTCCTGTGTTTGTTTGTTTTTTTCACTTCAGCCACCAGAAGAGATCTATTCAATTGGGGATACAGTTTTCATTCAATTTCATACTGATGACACAATCAATAAGAAAGGATTTCATGTAAGATACAAAAGCATAAGATATCCAGATACCATGCATACCAAAAAATAACACCAAAATCTCCATCAGAACATCCAGGAATGCACATATGGAGAGAAGATGTATTTTTTTAAACTGAAGATATTAGCACAAATGTTTTCTATCATGAGTTTGAACAAAAGAAAACTGTTAGATGAGAATTATCTATGTACTAAAGGAGATGTTTCTGGACAACTCTGATCAGCATTATAAAGATATTTGAACTCCTTAATGGATTAATGAATATGACGAAAGGGCATCACATGCTTCAACGAAGACTCTAAAAGCTTCTTCATATAGCTGTCTTACAATTCAGACAGATTTTAAGGGGCTGTGGCCCTGCAGAGTGTACTTTTTGACAAGTTCCCAAGATTTGGGGAAATAAAATGATCTTGTAGGTCACAAACTGGAAAACCCTCTTCTCATATCTTAATATAATTAATTGCTTTGGCACTGTGTCTAAGATACAATGCAAACTAAATCAATATAAGGTCGTATGAAATGGAAGTCTTTTAAGGACTGTTTGTACTTCAAATGTGTGGTGTGTGTCTGATATTTGGAAACTGGAATATTTCAGCTTCATTATTTCCACTTGCAGTCCAGCTTAACTTCCTTGAAACACAAATAATCTCAAAACCGCTTCATTTTACTGACATTTTGACAAGTTTGAAATGTCAGTAGTGTCTACTATTGCAGATAAAGTCTCAATATCATTTATTGAACTATCAGAAATGCCCAATTGAATGATAAACTCAATTCATTTTTGTGGAAGTGCTACCTTCTCACATCAAATCCTAAATCTTATGATGTCTTGTAAACTGTATGAGAAAACTCCCAAGAGATGTGTGCAGGAATCTTCTAAATGACTGGATGGTTCATTCTCAAGTTACCACTGCTGCTATTGTCATTCTTTTGACTATTTTGTGCATCTGTTGTAGTAGTTGTTAGTGTTGATGCTTTCGTGGTTAATGCAATATTTTCTAATGAAATGAATTTAGGAAGAACTGAAATAAAAATTTCCCTACTATTCAGTTTTTTAAAAAGCAAAGTTGGAAACGAGAATTTGGTTCTGAAAGACTTTCTATGGTGCTATTCCATAAACATCTTTTTTTTAAAACAGTATTTGACTTTGAGCCAACAACCCATGGACTATGAATGTCTCCCTATGTCTGGTTGGTGGCATTTGAAGAAAAAATGACTAGTTACATGTATTACAATTATATTGTTGCAACGGCAGCACTTGTCCTGTGGAACAACTACTTATCATGCCTTAGAATTCTTGCACATGATCAAAAATAACTCTCTAGAGACATACCTTTTGAAATGTTAGACATAATAGTATATGTTAACAGCTCTAGGGGGAAATTCCATTTTATGACTGAGAACATCAGATTGAAATATGATGTCCTACTTTTGTTGTAGAAAATGTATTGTTGAGTGAATTTTCTGCTCTAAAGACAGGTGTGTTTTAATATTAATGTTATGTCTGTGTAAGGTTGTCTGAGTGAATGAAGCTACAAGATGAAAAGTAGTGGGTAGTTGAAAAGTTAAAACTTATGTGCCAACTTCTACTAGAATCCTGTTTGAAGTAGCATCTTTCTTAGAAAGTTTCATGGACAAATAATGGAAACTTCTAATTATTATCAACTGCATTAAATAAAAGACTTTCCTTTAGAGAAACTCTGTTTTTAAGTGTTTTGATGTTGATGTAGATTGCTGTGTGAAGTAGTTTTGTTTCTGTTACCTGTCCATGAACATTCGTCATCATTTAATGAAATTGGGAATTTTTCTTCATGTTTACAAAATAAACTCAACACAGATATGTACCTTATTTGTTTTTCTATCTTTGTTGCCCTGCATATCTTTGTTTGAATATGAGTTATAATATGTAAATACATTTTTAAAGCAATATTTTTATCTTATTGAATGTTATTTTTCAAATGTTACACTTGCCTGCAATTTAGCTGAGTGTTTTCACTAGGCTAATTTATTCCAGAGGAGTTCTGGTATAGTGTGATAGTCTTTGAGAACCCTATACAAACTCACTATGAGTCTGAACTGATTCAATAGCACTTAACAACAAAATTTATGAATCTCCCATTAGCTAAAATATACTAGAAGAGGGAAGAGAGGATAACGAACATTTACTGCATACCTGTATATGTCCTAGGCCCTATGTTAGACAGGTCCTTTTATTTTATAATTCAAGAACTAAGTGTCAAAGAGGTTTTGTAACCTTCTGAAGGTAACAGTGTAAAGTTAGTTGAACCACAATTTATTTGATATTAGTCTGATACTGTTCTACAGAAGGTACAAGAATGTATCTTGATGTTTATAAATAGTAGTTTGTAATAAAAAAACTGTATAAAGTTTTAGGAGTGAATTAGAATGAAACTTTCAGGATAAATATGCTGCTTTTAGGAGTCCCATGAGAATTCAGAAATAATCTACAGACATCAGTGGAGCAACAGTTATGACTTGTTGTTGTTGTTGTTAAGTGTTGCCAAGTTGATTCCGACTCATACTGAGTCTGTATAGGGTTTTCGAGGACCAGCTGGTGAGTTTGAACTGCTGACCTTGTAGTTTGCAGTCCAGTGCCGATCCTACAGCGCCTCACCACGAGTCCACAATTATTACTAGAAAATTAAAAAGATAAAAACAACTACTCTATGATTTAATGTTAGTAACCACATTCCTTTTGTAATAATAACAGCTATGTTAAATTACTTATCTGGAATGGTAGAGAAATGTCACGTTCTATTTTGAGATATATCCCTAAATCTAAATCATAGTAGCACAATGAACATGCTCAACTCAACCAATAAATTAAAAAGAAGGTACTTAGAAGGTATACATTGCTGTCATAACTTTAGGTCTTCAATGTGTGCATCGATTTTTATTGTACGTGAAGTATCAGTTTACTGTATATATTTTTGTTTTTATATTAATTCAATGTTGTTGTTGTTGTTGTTGTTAAATGCCATCGAGTTGGTTCCGACTCATAGCGACCCTCTAGAGGGTTTCCAAGGAGCGACTGGTGAGCTTGAACAACCAACTTTGAAGTTTAAACTGACTTTGCAATCTAGCGCATTAACCCACATCGCCACACCAGGACTCCATGTTGTTGT